TATTTTATTGGTATAATGTAAAATAAAAATGTATGRATACGATATATCCTTATTGTAGACTGTAGTCAAGTTAATGATACGATTTTCTAGCTAATATATTGTTAGTATGTCAAGAATATAATTTAAGCTGTTTATGCTATTTGAAATGATTAGCTACATATACTTATTTATATACCGTTTAGGTAAATAACATCTTTGTCATCGATACACGAACGCGATAGGTGTACACAATAAATGTTAACAGTTATTACAGGTTTTTTAATCTCTCTCTTTATCGCATCTAGAAGTGTTAAAATACTATATGAAGAAAGATGTATAAATTATTATTACAACAAGTTTTGAACTCTTGAATGAATTTTAAATGTTTCGTATCATCATGACCAGTTTGATTAGCTTCAGCTAGTACAATTGCATAACTTTTTTTTAACAGTATATATTTTGATAACATATATTATTTTAATAATTTCATAGATATAAGTTTCCGATTAAACCCGTTTTTTCAGGTTTTTAGTTGCATGCATAATATACAAAAATTTAGTTTCTGGTAATTTCTTCATTATATTCTTAAACTATGTTATCTTTCTTTCATAATTATTTCTGTACAATGAAATAAAATATATTATCAATTGTTAAACACACGTATTAACAGGTATTGTACAAATAATGTCCAGTAATAGTTGATAAATCATTCGAATCATTGAAATATTTGAATACAAGGTATATATTATGGGAGTTTCAATGGTTCAGACTTATATAATAGTGAACCTATATCATATTATAATGGTCGAAATACAACAAACGAATAAAGGGCATTTTTCCGGACCAAAATATAAAAAAAACCTTTTCCATTGGACAATAACCAATATACTATACTACACAATATGCCCTGCTGATACACCTGGTAGAGTTATTGTTATGCGAATAGGTTACAGACGTGCCTTTTCAAGAGTATACCTATATAGAAATACACACTTAACGATGCGCGATGTTTCAAATGTGAAATGAATTTTCTCTAAAACGTGAGAATAAACGCAGCAGTGACGAAAAAAATAAAAGATACTGACATAGGTTACAAAAGTTTTTTTCTCGAGGACTTCATTTTCAATTTGAAATGTTTTACACTATAACGTCGCGTTAAAAACGTTAAMCTTTACTATATAAATTTTATATACGAATTCAAATAAACATTTCATGGATAATTTTCGAATCGCGTTCGTTAACATTGAAATGTAGGTAGGTGCATTTTAAAACAATAAATTAAAAAATAAATTCAGTTTAATAGTTTCTCAACGAAAGTAATGAATATAATATAAATAACTATGTTTTGAGCTGTTATGGTATTTTCACAAATCTGGTTGAAGTTGTAAGAGTATGTGTACTAACAATGTGGACGATAACAAGTTTTATTTGAGCTACTGACAGGAATTTCATAATCGTATTGAATGGATCGTAAAATACGAGCTACAGATGGATTTTGTTCCCGAAACGTGTTTGTCAAAACGTTTCGTAAATTCGATAACTAAAAGGAATATAGTATAGGTATCGTATAATAATACTTATATTAACTGTGTATAAGAAGTTGGTGTTCATATGATATATTATAGTGAATTAATAAAAAAAAAAATTCAATGTAAAGATGAATTCCTCGGGGTTGTATCTCTTGTACCTATACACCTATACACCTGTGACGCACGTTTTAGACCCACTACTACGGACTTCAATGTCTTGTGTATAGATATAACATTTTAATAATATAACGCAGGTACTACAATATGTATATATAATATATATATACCTACATTATACAATGTACATATGTATAATATGTCGTATATATATATATTATCATATATTTTAGTGTTCACTCGTTCGTTATATTCTCGGACCTCGTCACGTCCTGTGCACAGATTCTTGTATCACAATAGTCGAATTGTAGGGGAATATTATTATAATAGTAATATAATGGACACGAGAGAAGTGAATAGTGGCGGCGGCGGCACGATGGGATCGCACCTTATCTGTGCAGGTACGACGACGACGMACTTGCAGCAGTGATCTGCCCTCGCCCACCGTCTCCACCCCCTCCTCAACCGGTAATATTACAACGACTTCTCTCATTAACCCCCGGGCAACACACACACATATTTCGGAGTACCGGTCCGTTGAACCCGGGTGCAATAACCATCCAACCACATTAAAATTATATATATTATTATATATAATATCATACTCAAAATATTATAATATTACCATTATTTAACGCCTATCGCACTAATATTGTAATATAGAACGTATCTTTAATCGGATTTAATATAATATAATATTGTGTTGGCAGGTACATATAGCGTAATAAGACAAGATTCTAACCATAACCGTTGTCAATCCCTGCTCCTGATGTGTGTTTTTTTTTTTGTTTAATCGTAAGTCAAAGCATACCTAACCTATTTGACGACCGATCCCGATCGTAATCCGCCGCCACCCCTATCACACGAGATCAGCTTATATTATTATGTGATACATTTAGGTTCACTGCAGTTATTATCTTCATGGATTTATATTAATATTACTATTACCGTTATCGTTATTTATAATTTATATACTACTTGGTACATTTCGTTTCTTATTCGTATGTACGACCACCATTATTATGTGTCATATATAAATATAATATGAATGGGGCTAGGCGATTTGCCGCTGCCATAGTATCACATTAATCAGAAAGCACCTCGACGTTATATTGGATTAGCCGACAACGAAAAAATGTTCACCGTTCTATCAACAACGGGCGTGAAACGATGAAATAAAATCTTTATGTTCTCAAAAACTATAATGGTCTGCAGCTATCTAGGTTCTACATTATAATATAATATGCATATACTAATATAGGCGATTTCTCTCCCCAACTATAGCTACCTATTTTAATTGGGTAGTTAATTAGTATTTACATTATTTATAACTCAACTAACACTCGTGTACACCAAAAATTCCACGTATTTTTTTTCTTTATAGTTTTCACTTGAATAAAAATATTTTTATAGTTCCTATAATAATAAACGTGGGATTTAAAATTATTAATACAATTTTAAATAAATAATTTTCAGAAACACTCCAGGAATAATATATAAAGATGGCAGTTTTGTTAATTTGGTATCATATATTTTAATAATAAATAATATATATTTATATAGGTTATAAAACACCTTAACGGGTTTCAATTAATTGTAATAGTAAAAGTGCATTAAATCATTTAAATCAGTAAAAACTAGTTATTTGAATGCTCAACTAGTTTCAATCTTGATTATTATGTTACTCGTTTTACTAAAGAAATATGTATTTATGAATCATGTTGGTGTAAAGAATTGAAATTGACTAATAATAAAACACACTCTACTTTCGGTAAATATAAATCAATCAATGGTAACACTTTTAACTAAACAAATCGTTAAAAAACATTTGAATTGTTAAATTTTAAAATTTTAAAAATAATACCTATTATCTATACAGACGAGTTTAATAACATTTTAGTACAATATTTGTTTTCTCTCTGACCCATGTGCATACATAGCAAATTTGCGTTCACACCAAAGTTGTGTTGTTATCTTTAGTATTGGATTGAATCGATCTATAATCGAATTAAAGGCTGGCACATTGTTAATGYTTTTATGTTTAATTTATTACAAATTTTCAATTTTTAAGTGATTTATGAGAACCTATGTTAAATTATACAATTTATAAATGCTCATTATAGGTATGCTTTAAAAGCAAATTAAGAACATTGCAGATAAGTTTAGTATTCTAATTTTGGTAATAAGCTAATTAACTTTTAACTCTAACACTTAAGTTAAATATATAATAGGTACACATTACACAATGTTGATTTTACTAAACCTGAATGTATTTAGGTATGTYGCACGTGGATGAGAGTAAAAAAACAGAATTTAGTGATATCTTCTTAAGTTATTTAATTATTGGTTAGGTATACATATTGAGAATTTCTTCATTGATAAATTAATACAATTAAATAAAAGACTTACTCTTGTTTTGATACATTTGCTGTCTATTTATTATGATAAATAATATATTTATATATTTTAAACACGTATTATTATAAACATTGTTGGTGTGCACATGGCGTGGTTCAATTTGTTTTTTATTTAAAGGAATATGCCGAAAATAGCACGTAGTATAAAACTATTAAATAAAAATTTGATATCGATAAGCATATAAATTAAACTTGACAAATTCTAATGCGAACAACGAGCATTTACCGTAATTCCAATGAACTTCCGTTTTAACCAATGTACATTCCAAGAACCAAAAATGTATTTCGATTTTCCATAGCAACCCCCTTCGAGGAACTATTAATCAAATAACCCACGATTTTAAGCATTCGATTATGACGCGTGCATACCTATATATTCGTGATGTTCATAGAATATACATATGCTATACACATATAGGAGACTTGGCCATCAGGTGTATTGAAAATAAAAATATTACAATCACAATGTACCTAGTTTCGAATAAATCGAAAGTTCTTTTTTTAAAAAAAAGGCAGTATACCTATGAGACGAAATTGTTTTATTGCATAATTGTAAAAGCGAATCGCGTTTTATCAGTTTATCACTTATCAGTATCTTGCCAAAAAATATAATGGGGTTATATATAGGTTAATTATTATACACATCCACATATTGGAATGTGTTTATACTAGTATTCTACGGTAGGACAACTATTATAACATCGTAAAATATTTTATTGGAAAATATTATCGAACTTTCTCTTACAATTTTAAGTATTTTGTGTTTATACACATAGGACATGCTCAAGTTGACTTTTTAACCGTGTGTCTCTTTTAAATGGTATTACATTTAAATATAATATTTTTTTTTTTTTWWTTATTTAAATAAGGCTTCAACTCCTGAGGTTATTAGCCTGCAGTAAATACAAAATACAAAATAGTAGTCATAGAGTAAATATAATATTATGTGTCAACTTACAGTGAAAAGGTGCGGAAAATGTTGGCGTTTTTGTTGGCAAACTTTTCTTTATTCTAGAAAAAAAAATAAAAACATCATCAATTAGTTATGACCTAGAAAATTGTTTTTTTTTCTTAACAATCACAATTCAGTAATAATATGATATAATTATCATRCTCGTATTATAAGATAAAATGCGAGTATTAAGCGTTTAACTTTACCACCTAAGCACCTACGATGTTCAACCCCCCACGTAATAATAGCCGATCAACTGCTGCCTATAAATACGATACTAATCCTTGATATTATGATAAAAATACTATATAAAACAACATTTTGTAGTCGTATAACTCGTATACCTAGATTTATAGAGAAAAGAATATTATTAAAGTAGGTATCACACACAAACGTAGATATAAGTTATGCATATGGTATAATATATACAATATAAACCAGTTTTARTTCAAACATTTAGTTTTTTTATTTTGGTTGATTAATAAAATACCACTGTTATATTTTCCCAAGTCCACTTTCGGTTTCATTAAAGAATTTACATTATATTTTGAAAATGTGCCCAGCTATTAATTGTCTGTTATTGTAATAATAGCGAACAATTCAATTAAGTGTATTAAATTTCGAATAGGTATATTAATATAATCCATCAATTTATATTTTATATGACTATAACGTTCTTAAAAAGAAAAATTTAACTCAAGTCGATTATATAAATAATTATAATATTTTGAAATAAAATACAATTTTTTTTAAATTAATACGATCGACTTCACCTATGAATTTCAATTTATATATTACATTGTTATTATTACAATATAATAAATACCTATTTGATATGCAGTTGTCAATAATTTCTAATTTATTAAATAATTATTACTTACTGCATATTATATCAAATATAATTTGCATAGTATGAAATAATTTGTTTATAAAACCTAAACGATTAAAATTAAATATTTATCTAACCAATTTTTCAAGTAAGCAAACATATACCTAAAACTAGACAATATTTTAGAATAATATTATGATCATTTTTGTATTTAGATTCATAAAAAAGTTTTACTTTCACCTTAGCGGTCTAAATACCACTGCGTGTATTTACATTGAGATAGCTTTTTTTTTTAAAGTATTGTTCACAAGTATGATTGAAGTAGATATTTATATTATATTTGTTGTGAAATTATCTGTTGTATTATATCAGACAGCTCAGCTTTGTTTTTTGATATGATATAATTAGTAGGTTTTCGTTTAGTATTTTTTGTTCATTTTATTTCTTTGTTATAATCATTCTGTGTTTGTTGGTTTTAAGCAATTTTTTTWAAAAGTTTTTGTTTTTTAAATGCAAAGCATTAAAAAGTTTATGATGCGATTTTGACAATTGAGAATTCTGATGCTCCCGTAACAAACTCGTGTAGTGTAATTCGAGTTGTATCAAACTATTTAAAATACTCAGTTTTCCCTTGAAAATTCGGTATACTTGGTTATTTCATGTTTTCGGATGTCGTGCGAACAGGTTGTTAAGTACATTAGGTACGGTAAAATAGGGAAAAACATTATAATAATAACTTAAATGTAAAATTATTTATCATAATTATTAATATCTATACCTACCAACACACTTTAATAATGAAATAATAAGGTTGTCCGTACAGTTTTTCGTGTGTGTGTGTGTGTGTGTGTGTGTGTGAGCGCGCGCGTGATAACAGTGTAGCGTCCGTCCGTGAGGTAATTATGTAATTATTATTATAATACGCAAGCATAATATATTAGACCGTATTTTGCGGCCAAGGCGCGCATGGTGGGCGTACATTAAAATATTTCAATACAGTGTATACGCGCAAATGAGATGTAGAGAGAGAGAGAGAGAGAGAGAGAGAGTGAGAGACATACCGAGACAGAGAATGAGTGAGAGAGAGACCGAACGCCCTTGAACTTGGCCGGACGGACGTGTCATTGCCATCGAATTTTTTCCATAGCCCATCCCTATAAAAACGTACATTTTTACGCGGGCGAATGCCAGACGTCGAATGCATTTTTTAATACGACGCCCTTTCGGCGAACTCCTATCAGCTAAATAATTGCCAAGTCATCGGCTATGTAGCATCCCTTCACAGATTTCAAGCAACTTCGATCACGCATTTAATCGAAAAGTTCTAAATGTTAAGCGTAATACACCCATGGAATATACCTAAAAATATGCACTTATTGTTCAGGAATTGAGCAACAATCGAATCGATTATTTTCTCGTATTTAATTTACGAATAAAATTTAATAATATGCAGATGTGCCAGTAAAGTTCTATTCCCCAATCTATAGTATTCYGGTATTCATCTTTAAAGTGCATTTACATCTACATTACTTGTTTGGAAAGCAAATATAAGTGGATAGGAGAAACTATCAAAATCGATAAGAATTTATTCTTGATTTCAGAATTGTTTAAGCGAATATTTCAGATGAATATTTATTATATTGTAAATATTTAATTTATACTTATAATAGAGCGTTTTCTAATTTGTTAATGTTTTAAATAATTTTGAATTACCTAACTGACCAAATCAATAACATTTTAAGAAGAAAAATATTTAAAATTTTGAATAACAAATAATAACATTTATAACATTATGAGAAAAAAATGTAATTGAAGATGACGTCTTTAATGGGAAAAATATTTAAAATTTTGGATATTTAAAAAAAAAATTATTTATGTAAAAATAAATTCCCTGTTTTCTCCTCAATTCTCAAATTAGTCAAATTATTATACGAAAAAAACTGAGAATATTATCGATGTTGCCAGTTGTCATATTATTTAATCTTTTCTCAGGCCTAATTTTAAAGTTTATTTTTCATCTGAATTTTTGATGTACATTATTATTATTTCTCGTACTTATAATATAGGTATGATACCTATGTACATGGTGGCTAGATTATATTATGTTATTATTCAGTGGGTTAATTCAACGACTATTATTATTATACCTATATAATATGGCTTTAAAATATACAATACACTTTAACGATAATATATATCATAAACAAAGGCGTAAAATCACGCCTGCAGTAAATATTTTCGTAATTAATGTGACGTTTTTAACCGTGATGAATGCTACTATTACCACCACGTGCGTGAATTTCACAATAGACACATATTTAACGAAAAGCTTAACTAGAAAAAGCGAAAAAATGTATTTTCCAAAGTTTTAGTTCTACAAACCGTAATATTATTATCCGTTTAATACTATACGCTGTGCATTAACGGGAAATAGTKTTTGTTCAAAGTCAAAATAATATATACTACGCTACAGCACTCCAAATATAAGCGTTTTATTTAAATTACGTAAAAAGGTTTTAAACCACTATTTATTCATTTTTTNTTTATTCATTTTTTTTTTTTTTTTTTTAACTCAGCCCGTCTTCATTCCGTATAATAAATATTAATTACGTAGGTACTCGCGCGTTCATAATACAATCATATTATAATATTATATATACAAAACACGTACAACTTTTATGATAATATAAACGTAAAACTGTAATCGCGATGGTGTCGCGTTGCAACGTAAGAAAATATAACCTGTACGTCGAATTTATCAATCGACACAAAATGTCAATAAATTATTCATGTTATAACTTATTTTAATATACCTACTGCTATATGAATGCATTTTGTGCAAAACGGCACGTCTAACTGCACTAGGAAGGTAAACATGATTTTTTTTTCGACACACTATAATTAGCAGCATATTATTGCAGTAATGTAATATACACAACCCACTATACCCGCCACTACTATATAGATTATGATGATAATACCATGTCTACCATGTGTATAATTTATGTTTACTCGCCCCGCCGTTTGGTGAAATGAGTGATGTGATATAACCACACAGCCGGGATGCACGTATACATTTCGAAAACCTCAAGAACGTCAAACAGGTTAAGGCAAACACACCGCCCCGCAAACAGTGTTATTGTTTTACGTAAAATAAATATTTGTCGATAGACGGCGACAACTCGACGACTTGCAGCAGCAGCAGCACCGGCAGCAGAGCTTACTCGAGTCGTGTTTACCCAAAATACCTAAATATTGTAGACGCGACGGTCAACATAGTTACACGAGGCCTTTCCACCGAGGCATGTATTTGTGTGTACCTAACCTATACTACACCCGTCAACCTCGCGGCAAACGGCGTCAGTGCAGAGGTACAGCGGGGAGTCACGATGTCCCGTGCGCGCGCCGCGGCTATAGTGGTCCCGGGGAGGGGCCGGAGCGCGCATTCCTCATTACCAATATAATAATAAATACAGGTGTTTTTCAGGTATTATTACTATTATGTACAAAGGTAGTCAGTTTATTCTCTTCGTCGTCTCTCTTTTTTTTTTTTTGTTCACCGTCTAATTTATAAAATGTGGTCGTCGACGGAATACACAACGTAAAAAAAAATTACATTAACACACATAAACACACCGTTAACGTACTGGTACTAATGCTATTGTATGTTGTGTCTGTAGAAGTATAATAATACAAAAGTATAACGTGCACGGGAGACGGCGGATCGTAGCTCTCCCTCTTTTCGCCTACGAATCTACGAGTAACGCGCGACGCATGACCTGAAATGGATMAACAGCCTCTCACGGCAGCCGTGCTGACGACAACTAATATGCACACACACCTAGTCGAGTCGATTGCGCAACAGGGGCGGCCGACGGTAAGACACGTTGTAATATATGTGCACAACATAATAATAATACATCGATTATTATAATATGATATATTTTTTTATTTTTTAAATCTCGATGATTATTATTGATAAATGCGCGCACGAGAGGATCGATGACGGATATTGATGGATATCGTGGCGCAGTTGGAATTCTTAATCGTTTACGATCTACGTCCTATGACCTTTGGACACCATATAAAAAATACATGCCACAGCCAGATTCGACATCGCATACCTACTGTTAGAGAGCTGCCAACCCGATGATAAATTATGGTTTGCCGGCTGGAGTTTACTGCTACGAACGAGCCGATAACCGGGGTTTACCAAAAAATCACATTTTT